ATTCAATAGACGCCAAGAAACAAATGGGTGTTTTTGCCCTTCGATCATAATTTCAAAACCTGAATCAAAGTGAGGGCTGAGCCGGCACGTCCAGCTTGCCTGGCAGAAGTTGTCAGGGCGTCTACACCCACAGGCGCGGGCCTGTCTGTGCCCCTCGCTTCACACTGCTGATTAGTGATCATCACCGAGCCACACTCTAAAATCACATCTATTTAACAAACACGGGGAGGAAAGAGCGCTCTGTTCCAGCAGCAAAAGTACTTACCGTGAAGCCATAAAATGCATGGAAATGGGAAGGAACATTGACACCATAATCGAACGAGGTGTGAGATTAATGACGCCCTAATACAATCTGTTTTCATTTGGTGCAGAGAAAATTAATTTTTGAAGACATCTCATTTAGCTCTGCAGTATTTTGCAGTGGAAACTTTGACGCTGGGAACTTTTCTCTTCTATCCCTTACGCTTTGGACGGGGGCAGTGGGTTTTACGTCTGGTTGTAAGTGTGGCTTCACGGCAGGCGACCGGCCTTGCCGCCCCTGCTCAGGACGGAGGTCTTCGGAGACCACAAGTTAGCGCCGACCGTCACTCTCAGCTCGTCACCTGCTACAGAAACATCTGCTTTAATCACCCCAAACTCAACTTGCAAAAGAGTAAGATGTGTTACCTTCCAGAGCAAGGCACCGGGGTGGGCTGGACGACCAGATAAGGTTGTGTAAGCACTCGAGGTACTTCGAGCCCTCGAGTTTAAACCCAGGAAAGCAGTGATAGGAGATGACCGTCCCCACCGGGAAGGAGGTCTGGAACTCGGACATGTTCACGTAGCCATTGGAAAAGGCCATTGGTCTCAGGCAGCCTGGGAAAGAAAAGGAGACCTGAAGATAAACACAGCTCCGGGCCCCTCTCCGATCCCCCCCCTTCTCTAAACGCGGCCTCTGAGCAATGAACGCCTTGGTCATAAATGTCCAGACCCCTTATCTACTTACCTATTCTATTTGTAATGTGCAAATTTGACTTTATAGCTGCAAATGGCACCAGAGAATCGGAGGAGTAGGGAGCAGTGAGGTTGGGTGTAGCTGGGGATCCAGCGTCCCCTGGCAGGTGGTCCCAGCCCCGACTGCACGTTGGAGTCACCAAGAAACTTACAAAACACCAATGTCCAGTCCTGTACCCGAGGCCGGTGGACAGCCTGGGCACCCTGATCTTTTTTAAAGCTCCCCAAGGAATCCTAATGTGTCATCAGGGTTGAAAACCACTGAGGCGCCAAAGAGGAAAAAGACACCCCACTGTTTTCAGCGACGACGGTGGGGTCTTGAGGAGGTTGGGACACAACCTCTGATCAGCTGTCGCAGAATATGGAGCAGATGCCTGCGAGACACCATGAGGCGAAACTTTCGAAAATCCAGCTGTGCTTCAAGGTGGCATGGGTAAGGCACCCTGTGGCGCAGTGGTGCTCAAACTTGGGAATGACCCAGAGAGGGGGTCTCTTAGCACACAGAGCTGCAGTTCAGTGGGTCCGCGTGGGCCTAAGGATTTGCATCACTAAGGTTTCGGGGAGGGGGAGGGAGCGCAGCTGCTAGAGGCCTGGGGACCAGGGTCCGAGAACCCCCCCTGGTGAGACCAAGCACCCTGAAAATCCAAGTGCTCTCCGCATGGACTGAGACCCAGATGCCATGCTCCTACTTCTGCAAAACACTGGCTGCCTTTTTTGTCTCAAAGCCTGTGCAGCCCAGGGGGGCGATCCCCCCGGCGCAGAGTCCCATGGGGTGTGGGACTGGAATCCTGGGATGTCTCACTGGCGTCAGCGGTTTCACTGGAGAGTATAATGACCCCGCAGGGCTGGTGATCTGCCCGGGGAGAAGTAATTGCGTGTGAAGTAAATAATGCACAATGGAAATACCTAGTTTCCCTTCCAATCGCCGGGGACAAATTCTATCAGACGACTGAGCCCTTCTCCTAAGCTGATTGCTAGATGTCGCACTAGGCATCGAGGAGCTTGGCGTTCGGCAAACTGGTCCTATCAGAGCCTCAGTATCCATGGGGGGTTAGTTCCAGGAACCCCCAAAATGTATACTGTAGTTCTAAGCTACCCACCTCAGTAAGCTGGCTTCCCCTAGGTAAAAACTACCTCTGACTCACAGCGAGCAAGAGGCACAGGGACTCTGCTCTCCACAACAGCCCCCCTCCCCTCGCCCCAAAAGGAGACGGAAGGGTTGTAACTCGTACGGTTAATCAGGGAAGGAAAGATACGCTCCCTCTTGGTGGGAGACAGCCTGCTCTAAATATAACAGGAGGAAACCGGCTTCCACTCGGTAGTTCAACATGATTTCTATTTGCACGTCTAGGAAATAGAAGGAAGGCTCCCCGGGCTTTAGTTCCTGGATCTATAGGTGCAAATAAAAGTTACAGAACGAAATGTCACTCTAAGGGCCAATTATATTCCCCCCGGGGGCTCGAGGGGTGGCAGGCTGTCTAAGGAAACCTGATTCCCCATCGTTCACGCTGTGCCCGGGCCGGTGGGCAGTTTAAGGAAGCTGGAGCATCCGCGAGGCACAGGGGGTGGAGGGGAGACCAGGGCACAGAGCGGGGGCACCAACCGCCTCTGTGGGGACAGAGGGTTCTGAGGAGGAAGGAAGGAGGGGGGCTGTGGGTCCTACTGTTGTTCTAAGAAGTATGCCTCTCAAGAGCAGCAGGCCAGCCTTTTCACTGTTCAAAAACTATATTTTGGCTGAGATTTGAGTAAGAGGTGGTGGAGGGGAGGGATGAGAGTGGCCAGGCAGAGCAGGGGAACACCTGTGTCTGCCCTCCTGAAAATGACACCCCAAGATGTACACCACCACCATAGGGTACTTTTTATTTTAATATTTTTTTAATATATCTTTATTGATTTCAGAGAGGGGAAGGGAGAGGGAGAGAGAGAGAAACATCAATGATGAGAGTCATTGATCGGCTGCCTCCCGCATGCACCCTGCTGGGGATCGAGCCCAAAACCCGGGCTTGTGCCCTGACCCGGGATCAAACCAAGATCTCCTGGATCCTAGGTCAATGCTCAATGGCTGAGCCAAGCCCGGCCGGGCAATAGACATCACTGGGGGGCAAAAAGGACACCTAAGGAAGCGTATTGTATTTAAGTGACATAAAAGGAACTAGGAAGAGCAGGAGAACAAAAAGATAAGTAGCAGATATCAAAGCAAGAAGTGGCTGGAGTTCACGCCAAGGAACTGGAACAGATTCATGGTTCATAAAGTTCATCTGAATAAACAGCCAACCTGAGAGCAAGCTGCTGATCTTGTGGATTGTCTCTGAAAGTGTAAATGAATCACGTGCCTCCTTGAAAAATGCAATATAGCCCTGCTTGTGTGGCTCAGTTGGTGGAGCATCGTCCCAGGCACCAAGAGGTCACGGGTTCGATTCCCGGTCAGGGCACGTGCCCGGGTTATGGGCTCGACCCCCAGCAGGGGGCGTGCAGGAGGCAGCCGATCCATGTTTCTCTCTCATGGATGTTTCCCTCTCCTCTTCCTCCCTTCCCCTCTCTCTAAAAAGCCAATAAAAACATATTTTTAAAATGCAATATATAACATGCTAAACACCACAGGGAGTTTCAGGGGAGAAATGCAGGGTGCGATGGCCGGGGCTGCTTCTGTCTTAATCCGAAGCCTTTGTTTATTCCAGGGGCCACGGCTCGTAAGCTCTCACGTACAAAAATGATTTATTTCCAACTATGGGGCACGCAAGGAAAATATCAGAGCCTGCTGGTGGCTATGATTTCCGAGCACCAAGTTAACGTTCATCTCAACTTGAACGCGCCAGTGCTTCTGGTGGAAATAAGATCGCTCTCCCTCTGCCTCGAACCCTGAATTATGCATTGGGCTCCTTGGTCCTTCGGTCCGAGGCACGTGTCGAAAAATAAAATCAGAATTAATGTGAACTCGAGGGCTTAGTTTCAGACACAGGGCCCTGTATGTCAGTCCTGACTGCTAATTTTATTTTTTTTAAAAATGGAAGGGGATACATATTCATCGTGTGGTCTGGAAGGAACTGGATTATTTTCCTGTGCCTCATGCATTATAAAAAGGGATACCATTATTAAGAGGAAATAGCCACGGTAAGACTGGCTTGAAATACAGTCTCACCACTACCAGAATAGTGACAAATGTTTTGTGATTTCCATTAAGTACACAGTAGTTCATCACTGTGTTCACAGCCCAGTTGTGAGTCTCCTAATTCTTACCCTATTTGTGGTTTCTCAGTAGACGAGGCACCCAACCTGCTAAAGGCAGCTCCCTTTTCTACTTTAAAACTAGGTGTACGGCCCGGCCAGTGTGGCTCAGTGGTTGAGCATCGATCCATGAACCAGGAGATCACAGTTCGATTCCCGGTCAGGGCACATGTCCCGGCTGTGGCTCAGTTCCCAGCAGGGGGGCGTTGGGGAGGCAGCCGATCAATGGCTCTCTCATCATTGATGTTTCTATCCATCGCTCCCTCTCTGAAACCAATAAAAACATATTAAAACAAACAAAACAAAAACTGGGGGTACGGAGCTGGAGCAAACCCCAGGAAGTGATGGGACGATTCCGAGAGCAGAGCTTGGCGACCGGGGAGCATACGGCTGGGCCACGGGGGCACCCTCGTTACAACAGCCTGCGAGAGGAACAGCCGAGGACCACAGCTCCCATCTCGTACCTTGACAGATGGGCAGGTTGTCCCACGTCCCGTCATCGCGACACAGCGACACCAGGTTGTACAGGTCGGGGTACCGGATCTTGTAGCCTTCGTGACAGGTGACGATCAGCTTGTCTCCGTGTCTGTAGGTCTTGTTGTGAATCTCGGCATCTTCGATGAGAGGGATACGGCAATCTGCAGTCGGGTAAAAAGGACACGTTCTTTTTGGAGCTGAAAATGCCTCTGGCTCGTGGCTTCGAGCCCGGGATCCGCCCGGACTGTCCAAGCGTTTCCAGGCTTTGCACGAAGCCCGGTGCAGTCAGGCGGGCTGGCCCCTCCCAGCCACTGCCCGTGGGGCCAGGACCCGGGCCAGATAAGGAAAGGTGCTTTGAAGAACAGCAAGGGGCTCAGCCTCCTTTGCATCTATTAGCATTTCCCCCTGCACCTACCTTATCTGTTTGGGAGGAGATAATAAATAGAGCTGCACAGCACCACTGCCAATCTCAGGAAAGCTCAGGGCGAGCAGTCTGCTGCCGCTGAGGATGGAGGGAGAGCGGGTGCGTGTGGACGGGAGGGGCCGAGGCGAGGCTGGGAGCCGGGAGGAGGGCAGTGGAGGGACGAGAGGCCCAGGTAAAACGAATTAACTCTGACTGCCCACTTCTAACTCCCTCTACACCCAGCTGACCACACAGGCCACTCCATTCTGGGCTGCCACGTTGCGATCCTGCTCCCTCTGCCCCCTCCCACCCTAAATACCATCCACCCAGTCTCCACTAAGTCACACTGGTCCCCAGGCGTCTCTCTCCATCTCTTATTGGCACATCTCTCTTTACTATCCCTGATGTTCCATGCCTACGTGCTTGCAAGCAGGAGCTATTTACTTCTACTTTTAGAATCAGATAGGCCCTGGCTTACGAAAGAGCTCCAGTCCGAGTTTGCTGCTTCTAAATTTTTTGAATCAAGGCAAAATCCAAGGACACCGACCATCAAAAAAACTTCCTCCAGAAATTTCTCAATGCTCTAAAAGATTGAAGGCTTCTCAGCCATTCTCCAAATCCTACAGAATTCCACGATAGGGTTGGAATAGTATCGTGACCTTCCAGCTCCTCTAAGCTTTGAGCTGTCAGCCCTGAGCCCTGGGAACAATGATGCGGAGGGAAGCTTGGGTGGCTTTAAAAAGAGCACGTCCCAGAAGCTTTGATGTGGGCTGGGGCTGGGTTTACTGGGAGCTTTAGGGAATCTGACAACAATGGGCTCTAGAAAACAGAATATCAGTGATGAGAATGCCTGGGGCACAAGGGGCCTCCCCGGCAGAGGAGGGCCCTGACAGCTGGGAGCCAAGGGGTGGTGGCCATTCTCTGTCTTCTGTGGATCATCAGAGGTTAAAACAACAACAAAATTAACCCAGAAAGAAGACTAAGGACACTCACTGGAAAGGAAGTGATCTTTCCCAACTAAACTGGGAGCCTCTAGGCCTACTGAGTGCTTCACAGAATTTGGGGAAATGAATGACTAAACGTATTAGGGTGGCAATTAAACGCCCAAAAGCATAAAAGCTTTTCCAGAAAATTTTCCAAAGGCAACGTGGCCTCTTATGTAGAGACGCACGTTGTTGGAGGAACCTGGGTTTAGCTCAGAGAGTTTTGCCCTAGAAGATAAATCTACCTGATTTCCTGCTTTCCTCTTGAGAAACAGAGCTTTAACTATTTTACATTTAAAGGAACTTTCCCTTTAAACAACAACAAAGTGACAGAAAGCACTTGGTTGCCAGAGCTGAGCTCACACAAAAAATAAACTAAGGCAGTTCAAGTGCTGTTCTCTATAGTACATGACTTACAGAGGCTCCACCCTACATTTTGATGTTCTAGTTTGGGGGTGCCTATGGCAAGTATCACAAGGTGCGCTCTGAGGCTCACCAGCAGAATCTCCCAGAGGAGCCCCCTAAATTCAGATTCCTAGTTTATAAAAACCTGTAAGAGTAGGCCTGGAAATGTGCATCTTTCACATGCCCCTTGGGCAATTCCAATGAAGTCAACCGTTGAGAACCACTGCTTGGTAAGATAGGCAAGGGGATTGACTAGACCGAAGACAGCTGTCCAAACGCAGAGGCTGGCTCCGATTTAACAAGCCCCGGCCCACCCCTTAGCATCTGTATCGGACAAATCTAATAAAGAAGAGAATCTAACCTGCATGGGCTGGGGGCAGCTCTGCACCGGAGGCCTCTCTCCCTGCAGGCCCAGCCCACGGTGGGGTTCTAGAAGCTCTACATTAGCAACAGGACTTTCAGGTGCTGACTGGGGAGCCGCAGCCGGGCCTGAACTGCTCGAGACTGGCAGGAGAGAAGATGAATTTCATCTGCAATAGTTTGGAAGGACACCCCTGGGGTGGGCCTGCATTTCTCATAAGCAGCCAACCTAAGTCTGGGTAGTTTCCATCGCGAGCTTGTGAACACTGCTTTCTGGGGAACTGTCACCATCAGCCTGGTGCTCGAGGTTGCCAACAATCACGTCGTGGCCTTTTTACATGATGTGACATGTTGATGCTGTTTTTCTGTGTTTGCCTAATAATTCTGTGACTTCAAGCAACTCCCTACCTCCAAGGGGCCTGGACAGGAAGGGTGACGTCCCAGTGCTCACGTAACATGGGAGATGGCATGAGGCAGCTGGTCAAGGCTGCTCTGGTTTGGCTTTTCCCTCGGCACGTAAGGGGGCTGGCTGCCCAGGCTCACGAGCCCTTGTCTGGGGCAGCCCGGCTGTCATCTTGCCACGCTGACAGCTGATCATTTCCGTCACTTACCTCTGCTGCACCTGCCCCTCTGACCTGACCTTATTTCCCCTGGATATTTTTTTTTCCCTTCCAAGCCATGACCACATCTGAGTTAAAGAAATCTTTTTAAGAACAAAAACCAAACTCACAGGGAAACTACAAGGAAGGGAGAGGAGGGGAGCAGTGACTCCAGTTACGAGAGGCATAAATAAGAAATGACAGTGGTCCTGAGGGGGCGGGGGCACCCCTTTGCTCCCTCTTATCTTAGAAGATGGCAAATGAGCAGAGAATATCTTAGGGGGAAACATGCAAATACTTGCCCTGTGGGCACAGGCTGCTCTTTCTGATAAACCCCGTCTTAAGGCAGCAAGAAAGAAATTTTAGATGATAGAAAGAAGAAAGGGATTCTAAAGAAAACATTTTTAAAGCATCCATCTGTTTTGGTGAAGTCTCTGGAGCTGGGCGACAACCCACTTTAACACAGGAGGAACTATAACAAACGAGTGTGACTCCCCTGCTTTCGAAAAAATGCCTGCACCCTGCCGTTTCCATGAATGAAGGAGTCATCTCCCATCTTTACGGCCGCCTTTAGCTCGTGAGTCAAGTTGATTCTTTTAATTAAAAATTTATAATGTAATAGCAATGCTTAAACTCACACTGCACCTTGCCCCCTTTCCACCCACTTACCTTTGAGGATGGAAAATGAGATTATCCCTCTGCTCCTATCCAGCCCACAGGGAGTTGGGCACCGATCAGAGGAAGGGTTTCGTGGGAAAGGCCTCTGCTCAGCCGGTTCATCCTCAAACCAGCATGGCCTGCACGGGCCACCTGAGCTCTGGGAATGACCTTAGGCTGGGGCTGCTCAGCAGGACATCCCAGGGGCCAGGAGCTGGTCTGGACCCTGCTCTGGAAGATCCCCACGTACGCTGAGGCCTGTGGACTCCAGCTTCCCCCAAGTCCCCTTTCATTGCCTCAGGATGGATTTATCTGCATTGAACTTGCAGCGAGTAACCAATGTGAGCAGTGACTATTGAGAGCTGCTCAGGGGAGGTGAGAAGAGAGGAAGGTCCCCTTCACCTCGCAGAGAAGGGCTCTGTGAAAAAGGCCCTGCACTATGCAAAGCCCTGTTCTGTGAAACGGAAATCTGCCACAGCTCAGGTGGGTCTCCCCCTCCCTCCCCAAGGGCAACTCCAAGGGGAAAGTCAAAGAAGAAAAGAGAAGCTCTGTTTCTGCACCCGAGGGTGCTCAAGGGACACCCCGAACCCACCCAGAGGACACAGCTAGATGCATCTGGCCTTTAAAAACATCCAAACACCCTCCCCAGGAATGAGAATCCTAAGGGAGGCGGGACGTGGGAGCTGTAGAACGAAGGAAGGCTCTTGACCGACCCAGGGACTATAGGCCATTATTTGTCTCTTTTTAAAAAAAAACAAAACCCAAAACTGTTATCCAGCCAGTATAACTAACGCCCTCAGAGCTGAGATGTATTCTCTATCCCAGCTGTACCCAGGGGTGGTTAAGTAATGAGATCTTTCCATGAATATTGATCATAAATAGGTTTGGGCTGTTCATAACACAGATGGATTTGAATTCATTTTACTTTAGTCGCTTTGGGATACTGATTCTTTTAAATACTACTTCTTTATTCATGCAAGCTGTCCTCTGAACCACCGCTATGCTGTCCCTGTCCCTATGAGGGTGTGCAGGCCGAGACAGCGTCTTCCCACGTCCCAATTTGACGAGTTCAGTGTTTGTAGAGTGAATTTACTCAGAGTCCACCTTTTCTTATGAAACGTGGGAAAGGACTGTATTTACCCATGGAAAGGGACCTGGGGCTGAACAGGTCTGTCTCTAAATCGCCATTCACCCTTGGGAACGCTCTTGACTTCTCCAAGACTCAGTTTCCCTATTAGTCAAACAAAAACTACACCAGAATGAGGGCCTGGATTATACGATTTCTATGCATCCCTTCAACCCTGAATTTCAAAGATGCCATTTACAGTAACACTGTGCTGGTTCTCACCGATTAGAGTGGGCTTTTGTGACACAGAGAAGGTTAGACACGACCTTATAGGGGGGAAAATACTGGCTGAGAAGCAGTTCAAGCTCTGCCAGTTACTCATCTGCTGTGTGACCTTGACAAAGTAAGAGAACCTCTCTGAGCCTCAGTTTCCTACTGAGAAAAAGAGAACAGTAAGACTCATCTCGTGGGGAGGTTGTGCATATTAAATGAGATCGTGAGCATGAAAATTTAAACTGTAATGAACTATAAAAATGAGATAATCTATTATTGTATTACTATTACCACCACGCAAAAATTCATTAGCCTTCTAAGAATTACCTGACAAGGGATACAAATGAATTCAGCAGCCCTTACTATTTCCAGCATTAATTCTGATCAGGGAGTAAAAGCTATTTATAAATTGGGTTCGGGTGGGGTAGGGGGGGTGGGGGGTGAAGTGCAGCTTCCTCACTGCTATGTGACACCCAGGGTAGAGACTTCTAGGTGTCCCTGCCCCCTCTAAACCACTTAGAATAAAGAATGTGTATTAGGACATTAGCAATGATCATTTTCTCCACCATCAGGGCAACAAAGGCAATCTCTTTACACAGATCTGTCAAAGACCAACAAAATTACCATTAGTATTAAAAATCAATATACCATCATACTTAGAAAAGCAATGCCTGTTCTTCCAAACTTTCTGAAAAATGTGATTAGAGCACACCATTATGACGGGAAGGCAGGGTCCTGGGCCCTCCTTTAGAAAACTGTGGTCTTATTTCAGTTTGCATAATTAAAGAATTGACATAATTTTTGTTATTGTTATTGTTGCTGTTGCTCTTTTTTAAATACCTTGAAAATAAAAGCAATGATAGCAAGTACTTTAAGGGAAAGACACCATCTTATCCATCCTTTAAAATTCCCGTAAGGAGGATCATAATAAATGCTTGACAAATTAAATTATTTTACAAGTTTCATATAGAGATACACACTGAATCAGAATAATAGTTTACATAACATTATTATAAAAGCTCCACCCCAAAACAAAATCAATAATGGTGTTAAGAGAAACTGAAACTCATTTCTAATGAACTCAGTGGAATGTAAATTCTATGCCTCATGGAAATTTAGGGCTAGAATTCATCCTAGATGTACACCTATGCCTACTTCTGCCTTGCCAATCCTTGGAGATACATAATCAGCAATTTGGCATTCCAACTAATTAAACTCAATGCATTCTTTAAACTCTAAAAGTATCTACAAAGAGTAAAAACTATATATATAGTTATATATAAAAACAACTTTACATATAAAGTTGTTTCAACCAACAGATTTAGGGATAATTGCTAGAAGTAAAGGAATATCTTGTCATGACCAATAAATTTAGGGGCGATTGTTAGAATACATGTCTACCTTGCCAGTCCATCATTGCTTGTCACGGTTATTTCTTTCCTTAAATCAATCACGTCTAACAGAGAACTGATAAGTAGTAATTGATTTAATCCTCTGAGTAACAGGCATTGTCTGTATCGTGATATATAGTTTTCACCCAATGTATTTACTGCGCTTTTTATTGAGTAACATGGAAATGAGTGGGGAGTTGGCAGCCCAACAATAAACAGCCCTAATGTTATCTGAGTTTCTCTCTCGCACTGACAAAAATGGTGATAAATTGGAGGGTAATGGAGATAGAGAAGGAAGATGGTTACTTCTAACGCAGAGATGAATTTATTTACTCAGCCTTCACTGCACACCCGTGCTTTTCCGTCAGCCTGGAAACAAAAACAGCAGCCCTGGGTAGTGACCCCGGGCTCACACAGCCTCAGACCCCGACCCCCGCAGCCAGGGCACCGCAAGGTTTCCATGCAAGGGGGGAGGGCGGTGGGTTTGAGCACTTTACCTTCTTGCACACAGATGGGGCCATCACTTGGGATCCAGCCCAGGGTTCCATTGAAATGCTTCATGCACAGTCTCTTCGTAGAGCCCTTCAGCTTGAATCCGTCCTGGCAATGAAATCGGGTGACAGAGCTTTCAAAGAAAACCCCTCCACTGGGCGTCCTGAAGCCATTCTTGGGGACGCCCGGGTCGGCACACGCCTGAAGGTCATCGAACCCTACACGGACAGAGAGAAGAAGTGGCTCTGAATATATTCCAATGCCAAGGGACTTCTTAGGTAAGTGGCAGGTACTATATTCATTCCAACACCTCACACCACCCAACTACACCAACCAGAAAGCCAACACTATAAGCATCTAGCACATTTCACTCTCCTTTTTTGCTCTTCGCTTAGCGCGGTGCTCATTAGCTTTCAGTTCCACGGCCAAGCTGGCTTTCTGAAGAGGTTATAGGAGCAGGGAGGTGAGGCAAAGTAGCATCGAGAGGAACACAAGAGGGTACCTGCCCCAACAGGTGGACAAGGTGCTGAAGGCCGAGGGAGGAGACAGAATGTGAGCGTGGCCTTGAAGGGCGGGTGCGAGTTCTACAGACCGAACTAACTTCCATGAGCTCACGGGGGACTCACTTGCCTCCCTCCCCGAGTGGCCTCACGACCCAGGACATCCTGCCAGTGATGCGGGTGCTGAAAGCCAAATGGCAGGATGTCCAGAAGTCATGGTTCAAGTACAC